GCCCAGATGCAGGACTCTGCACTTTCCTTTGGTCAATATAGAATTGGTCAATATAGAATTGGTGATAAAAGGAAAAAATTGGCTTGCTGGTTATAAGGTATTTGTATGTTTGCCTCATGTACATGGAAATTGCTAAAAACTGGCCTGCACTGATGCCCGTTATATGTAACTGATGATGGTTACACCAATTAAAAATCACTTAATTCTACTGTGTTTTAGTATTAGTGCTTCTCAAGTTGCATAAATACTACTGTGAGCTTAAAAGTTATAGGCTTAGTTGCATGACATTTGTAAACTAATGTATTTAAGTCTAAACAGCCTTTGTGGCATGTAAATCAACTTTTATCAGAGAGATTTATCTTAATGGTTTCCAAATTATTATTTTGGAGTCACATAGCAGCAGTGGAAAGATGTTAATTTTATGTCTTTTGTCACAAGTTTTCTGTTGCTGGATAGATCTTTCTGTAGTAACTTGAATACGTGTTATGCATATTCAAATCTTGCCAAAAAGTACTGTGGTTGTATCAAAGTGAAAGTTTTCATCTGGAAGCTGTTTTTTCAGCATAATAATAATTCTTTGGCTGTAGATTCAGAAGATTTTATTATTACCTATTTACTTGTTTGTATGACCTTTATGATCTATAAAAAAGTAAAGAAGATGATTTTTTTAAAACCTACAGATTAAAGAAAGAATAATGACCAGATGCCATGATACACAAAAGTAGAAAATGTTATTTGTAACAGAGGGAAGAAATGAAATTAATTGCAAATACTTTATCTTGTCAGTTAAAAATACCTTATGTTAAAAAATCCAGTGATGGATGCCGTAAAATTTTAGCTTTTTTGTTTTCTTTTGAAAAATCTAATGATAACAATTGAACTTCAGTTGATTAATGAGTCTAGATTTCAATCCTTTAATAAGCTTTTGGAAATAACAAATCGAACATTTGGAGTTAAACTGGTAATTTTTCAGATATCCTAAAAGCAGGTGCCTTGTAGGTACTCACTGTAAGTTTTCTGTCATCAATCACTTGAAACAATAGTATATTTAGAACTTGAACATATGGGAAGTGTTTTTCTATCTCTGGCTGCTTTAGTTCTTAATTATTTAAACACTGGAACAGAGAAATAAAGAGCAAAATTTTAGTTTGTTACTTAAACCTTTATTGTTAGGATTTAAATGTGTCACAGATAGAGTATTTTTGATAATTAAGGACTTGGATGCATTAATACTGCTGCATTTTATTTGTTTATACATGCATGCTGGCCACTATATGTGCATCTTTCTAGCTACAATTATTTACATGTCTTCCCTTTGTGTGTGGCACTGTGGTTGAGTATCAGACTTAAGTAAATGAATCTATTTTCTTAAAAACATCCTTAGGAAAATTGACACTTCTGTCATCTAATTTGCTTAAACTTCTTATATGTCAGTGTATAGGGTAGTATTGTTGAATGTCCTTGATTTGTCTCAGATTTAAATGGAATTTACGAGAACTCAACACTTGTGAAAATCAGAGTGCTCCTTAGTTTGTCTGTCCAAACTTTGACAATGTTAACATATTTTTGTGGCTTGCTCCATCAATAGCCTAACTAACTTCTTATCCTGGTTGTTAATAGAACTATTTTTTCATTTAAAAAGGCACCTGTTTTATAAGAAGGAGAAAGGTGAAAAAATGATACTGAGATAAGAACTGTGATAGCACTAGTAATTAGACTCAGTGTAACTGATATTGTTGCTTGTTCTTATATCTTTTTTTCTTTACTAAATTGCATACCTTGCATGTATTTTTATTTTTTTTTTTTTAGACTTACCAGATCAAGTTCTGAGGGTTTTTAAGGCAGATCAGCAAAGTCGCTACATCATGATCAGTAAGGACACGACAGCAAAAGAAGTGGTCGTCCAGGCTATCAGGGAATTTGCTCTCACTGCAACCCCTGATGCATATTCACTATGTGAAGTCTCTGTCACACCTGAGGGTGTAATCAAGCAAAGGAGGCTTCCTGATCAGTTATCCAAGCTTGCTGACAGGATACAGCTGAGTGGCAGGTGAGATTGTAGACTGTGAGCTAAAGCTGATAGTGCCAGTTTATTAAGTTAGAATCCTATTAATAGAAGCATTATTTAATTATTAATGTTCTGTTTCTTTACAAGAAATTGCTCCTTATGCAACTTCTAATTAATATCTAGGCCTGGTGAAATTCAATTTCTAATTGATTCCAAGTGGATCATTACTGTAATTTTCACTAGTATTTGAGTATATTGTATCTAGTGCCTTTCTGAATTTTGTTTTTACAGGTATTACCTAAAGAACAACATGGAGACAGAAACTCTCTGTTCAGATGAAGATGCTCAAGAGTTACTACGGGAAAGTCAAATTTCCCTACTACAGCTCAGTACTGTTGAGGTGGCTACTCAACTCTCCATGAGAAACTTTGAGCTATTCCGTAATATTGAACCCACAGAATACATAGATGACTTGTTTAAACTCAAATCAAAAATAGGTTGCACTAATCTAAAAAAGTTTGAGGAGGTGATAAATCAAGAAACATTCTGGGTGGCTTCTGAGATTCTAAGAGAAACCAACCAGCTCAAAAGGATGAAGATCATTAAGCATTTCATTAAGATAGCACTACACTGCAGAGAATGCAAGAACTTCAACTCGATGTTTGCCATCATTAGGTATTGCCCCTTAATACTTTACTTCTAAGTAAAAAGCAGTATCTTAATTATGTCAGTCTTAAAAAAAATGTATTTAACAGAGTAAACCAATTAAGACTACTAATATCAACACTTGGCAATCCAATAGGGAGGCCGTTTTCCAGTAATTTGAACTTGACATTGAACCATTTGCTGAAATATTATTTGGAATGATACTATTATGTACTTATTGCTCAAGACAGTGAGGCAAGAGTAATTGGTGAACATGGCACTGGAGAATCTACTGCGCTTATTTATAAACAAAGCCTAAAAGAAACAGCAGTTATATGAAGAAAAATTATAACATTGTCATGAATGAATGGGTTAATTTTGCAAAGGGAGCTCATAATGTTATACATAGTTCTCAGTATCTTGAATTCATTAAGCCATGATATTGTTGCCTTTGAGGTTTTTTTTGTATCAGCAGTTTATTGGATGGACCTCTGATAATAGTCAATAGCAGACCATAATGCCATATAGTAAGCTGTAAATAAAGAGCTTTTAATAAGAATTTTCTAAGTGCTGAAGATCTCAAACAGAAAACCTTTCTTAGTTTTGGAATGAAAAGGAGGAGAGGAAACTGTGTGTGTTTATACATGTTTTTTAAAACATTCACAATCCCTTTAGAGTCTCCCAAGTTAGGCAGAAAGAACCTAACAAAAAAATAATCCCTAAATATTGTCTTTTATGAAAAAGCTTGAGTAAGTTGCATTAAAATGACACTTTTATCACTGTCTCTGGCAAAAGTCCCAGTCATATTCAGTCAACAGATTCAATTAACAAATTGAATGTGACATTTTTTCTGAAGATCACGTTTTGAATACCATTCAATCAAACATGGCAGGTTTCAAAGTCAAGGATCCATGCTGATAATCAGTCAGCATCTCTGAGACAAAGTAGTGAGATTTAGCTCAGCTATTTCAGTTGATCTCAATGAGAAATAAAAGCCACCTGCCTGCTAGTGAGAACTTGAGTGAAGGAAAGATTCTAGGTACCAAACTTTCCCATAGGTAGAAACGAATAGCAAGACAGATAGTGCCATTAAGGGCAAAATAACTGGTTTTTGTACCAGCTACAGCTTCAGAATAATCTCAAATATATGGAGTCTGTTACAACGATTTGATTTGGACACAACAAAGTCAGATGGATTATTGAAGTCTGAAAGTGAGTCACTGTGCTGTCTCCACCTGAACATTATGTAGGTGGAAAATGTTTTTTCCTCCAGTCTGATAATTTGGAAATAAATGGTGATCCTGAGGTACTCCTAGATTATGATACTGTTATCAAATTCAAAGTAATTGAATAAGTTCCAAAGTAAGAACTACATACTTTCTGTAAGGTTAAATTACTCACTCAAGTGTAACTGATATGTGTTTATGTGTTACGTCATGCAGATATCTCCACTTCTTACAGCTTTTCTAGAAATGATCTTAATTGTTCTCTAATACACACTGACAAAAGGAAGTTTTCACTTTCTGTTACTTTACTGACGTTGTGCTATGCTATTCTGGCTATATGCAATTTCTCCCATACAAAATCTAACATGGTCTTTTCTGAGATTTTTTGTTTCTTTCTATTGTTCTTGAACTTTTTTGCACTTTTTTGTTTGTTTCAAGTGGCCTGAATTTGGCACCAGTTGCAAGGCTCCGAACTACTTGGGAAAAGCTTCCAAGCAAGTATGAAAAACTGTTTCAAGATCTACAGGACTTGTTTGATCCCTCTAGGAATATGGCAAAATACCGTAATGTCCTCAACAGCCAAAACCTACAGCCACCCATCATCCCCCTGTTTCCTGTTATCAAAAAAGACCTTACATTCCTTCATGAAGGTAAAAGCAGAAGTACATAATCTTTTGCCAGCTAAGGAAAACTAACTGTGCTACCTAATGACTGATGTTGTTAATTGTTGACTGTAGGAAATGATTCAAAGGTGGAGGGCTTGGTCAATTTTGAGAAGCTGAGAATGATTGCGAAGGAGATACGCCATGTTGGTCGCATGGCTTCTGTGAACATGGATCCAGCTTTAATGTTTAGAACAAGGTAAGTGTGTTGTATTAGGCAGAGCTTTTCCTAGCTGAGAGAAGGCTGGGTGTCAGCAAGAGGTGCTTTTCAAGCACCTCTTGTTGTATTGAAGCAGTATGAGTTTTTTGTTTGTGGTTAACAATTTACCAACATTACGTGGTGTTCTAGAAGTGGAAAAATCATTACATTTCATGCTTATCAATATATATTAAAATGTTTTATATTATTCCATCGCTGCCAGTTACTTTGCAATAATGAGACTCCATCAGTGGGAAGGAGGGGGAAATACTGTCGTGAACCGTGTCATGTTTGAAACGTTCATGTGTACCAGCCTTATTGTTTTGATTTAGTAGAGGTGGGAATGTATCTGAAACAGTGTCACCTTGTAGTGTTAGAAAACGTGGAATGAATGCTCTTTGGCTTCGTGTTAGAACAGCTTATTGCATACTCTTCTTCTTAATTTGAGCTTGACGAGTTTGTAATATCTGACTGTATGCCCGAGTCAAGGCTCTTTTTAATGTCTGTGGGCTTCCAGAACTGCTTGTCCTGAGGTCTGGTCTTTTTCTTTCTGAGCTTGTGATCTTTCTCTGTCTCTTCCTAAACCCATGCTTTACTCTTCCTGGCTCTCACTTGCAGGAAGAAGAAATGGCGGAGTCTGGGGTAAGTGGTTGGAGACAATGCACACAAACATTCATTCTTACCATTTGCATTGTTTCCTTCTTGCTATCTTTAATTTTCTGGTGCTTTGTCATTTTTTTCTTCTGTTAACCCTTTTTTACTGACAATACATTTTAATCCAGGAGTGCTTTTGCTTTTGAGGTTGAAACACAAAAGTTGTAAATTTTTTGTAAGTGCTTGTAAATAGGAGTGAGGTGTTCTTCTCCTCCTTCTCCAGTTTAAATTGCCAAGGGAAATGCCTTTCAGTAAAAGAGAAATTATTAAATGGCAAGGTTGCAGCAGCTGAAAATTGCTGCTAACTTTCTTTTGCCTAATAAGCAATTATCACAATCAAATACAAAAGTAAAAACTGACAGTGTCTGCTGAACTAACTTATTTTCATATTACAATTCAGCCATCGTTTTCACTCTTAACAATTCAGAAACAATGCATAACTTTCCTGTAAACATACATACATTGAAATGTGCATGACTTTTATTTCATCATAAACTAGCTGATCATTTTATTTAACAAGAAGCTCTCTTCAGCCTAGCAAGTTACAAGGAAGTTCTGCTCTGTAAAACTGAGCTGTACATATGATCTGATTTAAAGTGTTGAGAGAGCTTTCAAAATGCCTTCTGTATATGTATTTAAATTTGAACCTCAACTATAGTCTTCTGTCAGCATTGCCTTACTGCATGAGCTTTTTCTAATGCTCTAATCTTCTCAATAGCTGACTTCTGTGAGAGAGTTAGCTTGAATGCTTTTCTAGATGTGTGAAATGATATTTCCTAGTTGGAGCAGAATAGGTTAAAAGATATGTATAATTAAAATAAAGCTTGTAACCAAGTAAAAGTATTTCCTGACCCTCATCTTTCTATCTGTTATAGCTGTTTGACTTACTGGAATGAGGCATGTAAGCTTTGACTGTAGACTGACATTCATGCAATCTTTTGCATGTTCATGTTTATCAAGTGATACCATATTGGACTAAGTCATGCTTTTCCCCTCTTTTCTCCGCCTCCTGCGGCGCTTCAGGTCTCTTAGCCAGGGCAGTACTAATACAGCTGTGCTGGATGTGGCACAAACGGGGGGTCATAAAAAGCGAGTCCGTCGCAGCTCCTTCCTTAATGCTAAAAAACTGTATGAAGATGCTCAGATGGCACGGAAAGTAAAGCAGTATCTCGCAAACTTGGATCTGGAAATGGATGAAGAGAGCCTCCAGACACTATCTCTGCAGTGTGAGCCAGCCACAAACACATGTGAGCATTGTCATTTGCTATGGATTTCAGGGTAACTGTTAAATATACCTCTCTTTCTTCTCCAAGGAAGTAATTTGGAACAGTAACTAGACACTGGGGTGGAAAATGTGTCTAGTCATTTCCAAGTACTGAACATCTATGAATCTTAAGGAAATCATCTTGCAGATTAATAATATAGAGACATAGCATTTATATAGGAGATGAGGCTTTCAGATGATGTCATGCTGAAATGCACAGGGGTTCTTCACATTCGTTGGTATAAAAGGTATGGAGGAGCCAAAAGTTTCTCTTTAGTTCTGATGTACTTGGGCTATTTGTATAAGTAAGGTTGATCATCCTGGATATCTTAGCCTTGAGTGGGAAGAGGTGATTTCCTTATTTCCAGGTGTTTCAGAGACACCTGGAGGGCTGTACCTGACTGCAGCAGAGGGGAACCTTATGGTGGATACTGGTTTCATATTGATTTGAGGGATTGCTGTATTTTATTCCCTTCCTTTCCTTCAGGGTAACAAAAAGTAATAATAATGTATCAGTTCTAAACCAGTTGTAGTCCAGTAGCCCAGTATAACTTCTGTTCGTGCTTTTTGTATCTAGAACAATAGTTATTTATGAGCTTTATTTTGAGAAAGAGAGTGAATGTTTTTTGATAATGTACCTATTTTAAATGGAGTTAAATCTCCCCCTCTTTTCCTCTTCATCTTTTCTCTCTAGAGGTATCCTACTGCATTAATTGTATAAGTATTTGAGCACCTTTTAGTTATTAATTGGAGGGCTTTGCACTGCTCAGACTAAAGCTCCTACAGTATTCTTAGCTAGTAGTCATTCTGTGCTTTCTCCCATTTTTTGCAAAGTGCCGAAGAGCACAGGAGACAAGCGATCTGGAAAATCCGAAACATCGCCGGTGGCTCCCCGGGCAGGCATCCAGCAGAAAGTGCAGCAGCAGCAGCAGCAACATAAAGTAAACCAAGCATTGCAGGTCCCTGCTGTATCTCTTTATCCCTCTCGCAAGAAAGTGCCAGTCAAAGACCTCCCACCATTTGGTAAGTAGAACAGTGAAATGTTGAGTTTAATACTCTGAAATTTGTTCGCTTGTGTCAGGGAGACATTTTTTAATCAAATAAGATTCAGACATTTATTTCTGGTAGTATTATATGCAGTTTGTGCCAGTTCATGCAGTGTGTATGCATAATTCTCTTCTCTAGAAATGTAAGGAAAGAAATCTAGGAAAGCATCCTGTCAATTCAATCAGTATAAGCCTGTTAATAGCAGCTGGAAAGAATGAATGTTTTTGACTATCTACACTGGGATCTTGGCTTAACTTTTCCAAAGGGTTTAGTGACTTGGAGTTTTTGAGTGACCCATCCGAGATGCCTCAGAAGTTTTGGTGTTTTTTTCAAAGTTTGAACACCTATTGTGACATTCAAGCCTGCTCAAACTCGTAATCCTGTTTGAAATGTAGGCCTGAAGTTTCACATTGAAAATTATCCCTTTTAGCTTCTGCTCCCTAGTACTTCTTTTAAAAAATGTTGTTATTCAGTCATTGCTGCCTGCATGTCACTCAGAAAGATAGCAAGATAGCAGACTATAGGAATTTATCTGATTTTCAAATCTGTGTCCCAGCATGTGTACATAACAGATATGCATTATTAAAGAACTTCTTACATACCACTTCAAGTCCAGTAATATTCCTAATAAGTATATGTAGCATAACTGGCCTTTCCTCTATTTCATGATGGTAATTTCACAAAAGCTTAATTCTGATTTCACTTTTTATTAGTTTTACTAATAAATAATAATTTGCTAAGGAGTTTTCACTGCTTAGACTGTTAGCAGAATATTAGAAGAAGCAAAATGAGCAAGAAATAATTCCATACTCATCTAGTTCTTGTTGATTTTACCATTAAATTTTAATCCTAAAAGGACTTTGAAGTGCCATAGACTGCATTTTTGCTCATGGTGGGAAAGTTTCTGAAAACTGACTAGGTTATGTTGATGAAGCAGCTGTAAATTATTGATAGCAGCATTGTGATCCAACAGATCAAAGATAAATTCTGTAGAATGCTTGACAGTAACCTCTACCACAAACACTGGCAAAACTGTCAGAGAAGTTCCATCTTCACTTTTAAGACTGTCACAGGGTGAATTTTTGAGGGGAGAGGAAGAGAAAGATGGAGAAATATTGCCTGAGGAAAGCAATTTTTGGTGTCCTGGATCTTTACATCATATATCATCTTCAGGATGTTTTTACTCTTCAGTTTCCCAAAATAAACTGATGCAGAGATAGTTCTCAAAAAATGAAAGGGAGAAAGGCAGCTGCAGGATGGCCTTGTATTGTAAGCGTAATCTTACTCATCTTTTCAGCTTTCTTTGACCTTCTAGGCTACTCTAAATAGAAAAAAAACAGAACAGTTTAAATTCTTACTATATAAACCTTCATTAACCAGTGAGATTTGTGTGTTAAATATAATTATAGTTCAAGTTTCTCAGTAATCATTACTCTGCATATCTTTGATTCTTGAACTGTATAGGCAGTATTCTGCAACAACAGATCTGAATTGTTTTATGTGAAAAAGTATTTCTTTTAGGTGGTCAGAATGAAAGACCAGCTTTACTGGTATGCAGAAATAAAGCACTATATTTTTAAACAGGAGTAGGTTTAAATGTTTTGCTTGATGTAAGCTCGTGTTAGAAATTAACAAAATTAGTTTCTGTAAATTAATTCTGAAACAGAGAGATGTATTTATATTGGACTTTACATCTGCCTACATTTATTCTTATTTAAAGGCATTAACTCTCCACAAGCTTTAAAGAAGATTCTTTCATTATCTGAAGAAGGAAGTTTGGATCGTCACAAGAAACAATCTGAAGACACAGTCTCAAGTGCATCTTCACAGCTGTCTTCTCCTCCCACTTCACCACAGAGCTCTCCAAGGAAAGGTATTACATGTGCAATAATTCTCATCCTGTTTCCTGAAGCTCACAGGCTTCAGAAACTTCTGAGAGAGAGTTTATTTGGACATTCGGAATAAACTAGTCCTGCTAATATTTTTGTCATATATGGTCAGCGAGAAGTCAGGAAGTGTAGTGCACAGTCGGATACATGAAGGGGATACCTGGGAACTTGATTTCAGGGATACCTGAAAGCCCTCTGTTTAGCAAAAGCCGGGAAAGATAGCCTGATCTGATACAGGATTTGGTGCAGTAGGTTACTCTCACTGCAGCTGCTTCTGGCAAAAAAAATTCCCATCATCAATGCTTCCTGCCAGTGGAAGGATATGCAGATTGAAACTTAAATTTTTTACAGCACTGAACACAGTAGCCTTTTAGAGGAATTCCTTGCTGCATCATGCATCTGGATGACCTGTGTATGACAGGTGGGCTTAAGATATTTGGGATTCAAATCACTAATATGCAATGTTTTACTAGCAGCCTGATTAATTATTTAAACAATGTATATGGATATTTGAAGAATGGTATTATGTATTGGAGCTTTCTTGACTGAGTTCTTTTTAAATGACTCAATAGAGTTATTTTTTAAAGTTAATTTAGAACTTTAAAGGGATTTTTTAAAACCTTTTAAAAATTATTGTACTTGTTCTGGTTATGAATTGACAAACCAGAGAATGTAGGCATTTTCCTGTAGTTTAAACAAAACAAACAAACAAACAAGCAAAACTTCCTTTGGAAGTATGATAGCCTAGTTTTACTGCAGATAGCTTCTAAGTCATTCTGTTTCCAGAATATCATAAAAGTTCAGCTTAACAGTTACATAATGTAAAATTATGGTAAAATACGTATTTTGAGGTTGAGATCCCATAATAGAAGTTTGGAATACTAAAGACATGTGTGTTAGAGACTTCCCTGTAGCAATAACTTTCCCTAAACTGCACAGGGATGATAAGGATTTGAAACTTACATATCACTTTTTCTACTTTCTTATCAAATGGATAGCTAAACCTTTTTCATAATGTGGTAGGTGGAAGTGCTGATCAGTTGAGCTCCAGACTTCTGGACCATCAGTCTTACGGTTCCAGACTAATGGACCTCTCCTCTTGGAAGTGAGAACAGTAATGAGAGTAACAATTCACCAAGGACCTCTGGGATAGGTGGGGCTTATGGAAACAAAAAGGAACAAAATAAGTCCAATTGGATAAGCAGATATCTGAAAAGGGGAGAGATGAATATGGCAAGAAAGTGCAAAAACCTATCCAAAATCTCTATTGAAGTGGTATTTACTAAGGTTAGATGGAGGAGGATGTTATGTAGATTATTACCTCAAGTCCTTGTAAGCTGTTGTCATGATTTCTCCCAGATATTACATTAGCAAAAAGTTAATATATATATATAAATATGATCAGGCCTGTGCATTTATTGAAAAAGGAATTCGGATTCTGTACTTGTCTCATAGTGGGGAAAAATACTTCATTTTTTGCAAAAAGGGAATCATAAACATGATCATAAATGTAAAAAAAAATCCTTGGTTTGATGGCAACATGATGCTAAGGGTATGTTCTTTTAGGCAAAAATGGTTTTGTTCTTTCAGCCAAAAATTGCAGCACTGTTTCCATGTTCTCAGCAAGCGAAATGGGATAGATCAGTTGAAGACATCTTGACACTTACGTGTAGACTGAAAGCAAAAAATGAAACCTGTGGTTACGTATGGATGCATGTTCTTTAACGATCTTTAACTTACCTGGAAAGAGCATTCAGCGCAGCTTTGTTTCTTACTAGAACAAAAGCAGAATTTGCCTCTGTGACATAATTTATAGATTTTTATCTCAGTCTGGTGGTGTCAATGCTACCTCCAAATTACGGCATAATTCTGATAATATATGCTGTTTGGAATGGCATTAGTTAGCCAAATACTACAAAGCAAGCTTGAAAATCTGGCCCTTTCTCAGCCAAGATACATAGTAAAACAGTGAGCCCAGACATCTGTGCTTCATGTTTTATCTGTTGTTCATATCTGAAGGGTAGCTTTGCAAAGCAGAAACTGTATGAGAGGGTCTCTTGGATTAATTTAAGCAGTAATCTTGTCCAGGACACCTCTTTCATTCCAGTCTTGGAGACAGTGTTTACATACAGGCAGTTTTTTGAGAAGTGAGATTTCATAGTGTGGAGATACAAGTATGATGGTGCATTTGAAAATAATTTGGGGGAGGGGGGCAGAGAAGAAGGAAGGTAAGTGGTTGGCTTCTGGTTTTTTAGTGCATGTTTCCACAGTCTTAAACCTCTTATTGAGAGACACAATACAGTGTTACACAGTTCTGCTACGTATCTTTGTCTTTTGCAGTGCTACTTCTGTGAATAAAGTGCAACCCTAGTTTTGATTTACCGTGGTAGCAGTAGTAAGTATTGCCAGCTGCCTGGCAATAACTGAGCAGGCTTCTCGGAGAGTCTGGTTAATGTGATGTTCCCTTTGCAGGCTATACTTTGGCTCCTAGCAGCACTGTGGATAACTTTTCAGATTCTGGTCACAGCGAAATATCTTCCAGATCTAGTATTGTCAGCAATTCCTCTTTTGACTCTATGCCAGTGTCTTTGCATGATGAGAGGAGGCAGAGGCATTCTGTCAGCATCGTGGAAACAAATCTTGGTGTGGGAAGGATTGATAGAAGAATCATGATTGAACCAGATCAATACAGCTTAGGGTAGGAATTTTACTTGTGCTTACTTACATTGTTCTTGCATATTGTGTGTATGTGGCATGTATATGTATATTTGTTTATATAACATTCCCTGTATTTCTGAAATATTTTTTCTCCCTGCTCTTAAAAACCACTATTTCAATGCTGATAATGCTTTATTTTCTGACAAGAAACATTTTGCACTCCTAAGTGTGTGATGAGGTTTACAGCAGTAAGACTTTACCTCAATAGACTTTATCATCTGAGCATTTAGTAGTGCTATAGGTTATCCTCTTTATGGCAGACTAGTATCCTACCCTGCTTGCTAGATGGGGACTTAACTGAATTATATCAGACAATATTCAAACAGTTAGTGATTAGGCTGAGAATAGAAATAGATAGTAATTTTTCAGTCAGTTTAATGGAAAAGTGCATATTTATATAACCCAAAAATATTTTACCCCAAATATATCTCCTAGTCAACAATAATTGGAAGCTAAAATTCATATTAGGCTACTGGTTTTCTATGTCATTTTCTAGGTAATTAACTTCTGTAATGGAGGGGAAGCTAGTGATGTGAGGAGTTCTCTAAATCTCTTAACAGTGAGCCTTAGTCTGAAAATAATTGAAGCTCTGGCTCCTATTTAGTCTCCTCTTACTTTTATGACCTGTTATTTTGATGCTTCACTCCTCTGAATGGTTTCAGGGCTTTTAATCCTTTGGGGTCTGTGGATGGCAGGTCTGTTCCAAAACTGGTGTACTTCAGCTTTGGGAATCCCAGGCTATACAAACTCTTTAATGAGATGTCTTAAGTATATGTTGAAAAGTTGGCTTTCAGAATTTCCTAAACAGAAAAAAAATCTGAAATTTCAACCTGAATTTTAGCCATCTCCCACTAAAACTCTGTTTCTAACTTCTATTTCTTTGCTTCACATGGCTGGAAAAGCATTAGGAACCTTATCTGTCAGTCTGTTCCCCTTTATATCTGTCAGTGCAATTTGCCTGTCTTCGAGATTGGCTAGAAAGTTAAGATTTTACTTTTTAAAATTACTTCATCGAAGTGTTAAGTTTTGTCAGGCTATCTATCCAATAATTTTGTTGTTGTTTTATTGAGGATGAGCTTGAAAGGCAGGTGTTCTAGTCTCAAAATGGAATTATTCATTAGTGTAAATAATACTTGATATAAATTACATCAGAACCTTCAATCATAGAATCACAGAATGGTTTATGTTGGAAAGGGCCTTTTAAAGGTCATCTAGTCCAACCAATATGTTTGCTTTTCTCTTGACTATTGAGTTCTTCACGTGTCTCATAAATTATCTCCAATTCCAACACTGGATTTATCTTTTTTTCCCCTTTTCAATGTGAATCTAGCTCGTATGCACCACTGTCAGAGACCAGAGGCCTGTATGCTGGAGCAACTGTGCTTTCTTCTCCTAGTACAGAAGAACTGGCACAGGATCAGGGGGACAGAGCTTCACTCGATGCAGCTGACAGTGGCCGTGGTAGCTGGACTTCTTGTTCAAGTGGTTCTCATGACAACATACAAACAATACAGCACCAGAGAAGCTGGGAGACTCTGCATTTTGGACATGCTCATTTTGATAGTACAGGCGATGGAGCAGGACTGTGGGCCTCGGGTAGTCATATGGACCAGCTGATGTTCCCCGATCATGGCACAAAATATGACAGGCAAAGTCAAGGTAGGGAGGGCCTTGATCAAGCACAGTCAAGAGCAAGCTGGGCATCTTCAACAGGATACTGGGGAGAGGACTCAGAAGGTGATACAGGTACCATAAAGCGGAGGGGTGGGAAGGATGTTTCAGTCGAAGCTGAAACCAGTAGCATAACATCTGTGCCAGCAGAGGAGTCAAAGCCAGCTCCTATGCCCACTCATGTGGCAGTATCATCAAGTAGTACAAAGGGACTTATTGGTAAGTTAAGTTTTCTTTACCATGAAGTATTAATTAAGTTGCCTGTAGTTCTTTGTATTGTTCTAAAACTGTATTCCTTCTGTCTGGTTTACTTTTGGTTTTTTTTACCCCCCAAAGCAAAACCAAACAATGTATAGTCTCTCAAATTTTCCCCTTTACATGTCCATTTATTACTAGGGAAAAAGTCACTTACTGTTGCTTCTCAGTTCTGGCAGCTCCTTTGTGTTTCAGGAGAGCCTGCCATACATCCAAAAACTAGCTCAACTGCTGGACAGTGTCTTGAGAAGTTGATGTATTTAGGTGTCTCTTCTGAAAACTGAATTTCTCTTCACTGTGAAGCTCCGCGTTCTATATTTAGAAGTCTAATAAATGGCCTGCTTTTTTTAGAAGCCTTTTACTTTATACATCTGTATGACTTGTCTGATAATTGTGAATATTCCTTACTTCTGAAAATAAGATCACTTTGTGCTTAAATACCAACAGAGATTTTTCTTTGGACTGCTGAAACTGAAGAGGTTCCTAAGAAATTAGAGCTGAAATACATTTATAATAATTCAGTAAAAGAAAGATCAGATAATACATAAGTTAATATGAAGGTGTCTTTGGCAGTGCTTAACTTTTTTTCTCATACTGTTCCTTCTATGCATCTCAGTCCTTGGTCATCCAAGACCTCTGCATTTTTGCCTCTCTCATTTCTTTCATTCCCCTTCACTTTGCCTTTCTTCAGGTTACTAAGAAGAACTATCTAAAAGCCATTTTGCTGGCTGAAAGAGTCTGCCAGATTGAGGTCATGCTGAGACCACTGTGATAAACTGCTTTACCATTTTCTGCCCAAGTATATTCCTTAGCAATGGTCCATTGCCTCAAAGCGTGAGTGCAGATCCTGAACTGTGAAGAGGAGGAAGCTGTTCAGTTTAGGATTCCAGGTTCTGATTCATACTGCTCTCTAATTTTACTCTTTGAAACCCTTGATTTCCAGCAAAATGTGGAACAAGCATGTCCAAACTTGTTTCTCAAGGCAGTGCTTTCCAGTATGTTTTTAGAGACTTGAACAAACGTGAAAGAAATCTGAAAATTCAAGCCACACACTTCCATGCACTTCAGTGCTATTAACTAATTACCCTGCAAATGTAACTCTGCATATCACTCCAGCAGATGCCACTGCCCTGAGTAGACATTGATCTCTTGCAGTATTTCAATAGACTTTTTCTACAGTATTTCTTCTGTTTCAGTTACTTTTCAGAAATCTTTGAATAAAATTTCTCAGAAACTTCTTCATGCTCAGTTAAAACAGTTTGTCCAAGAAAAGTATTTAGGTTCTATTGGAAACTAATTGGTTTTGTTATAATGCCAAGACTTTATTTTTATCCTATAAAAACTTCATCCAGATAGCACCAGTCCATTTTAAGCTTGTACTGCCCTTTCAGTTGATCCCGTGCTGCATAATGCAGGGTGATGTTGTCATCACTAGTGCAAGAATATACAGTGTATGACAAGCTGTGGAGAGTAAATTGTCTGTGTCAGTGGTTTTTCCTGCTGTGTTCACCTTTGTACGGTAAGTTAAGTGGCTAGACCCACAAAAAGTTTTCAATATCAAAGCCTGACCTGAGTTCTTTAAGTACATAACTCCAAAATAGAGAGTCATGCCTATCTGCTGTGTGTCCCTGCAGATGAATAAAATTCTTAATTGCTGTTTCCTCCTTTTGAAGTTCTCTGCAAGAGAGAACTAAGTATGCCCAGGATTAAGTCTTTTTCAGGTAAACAATTACGCTTCAGTGAGATCCACAGACTAGGTGGTGGTCTTTATATAAAAACATATTCAATCATAGTTCTTTGGGGCATACTTTCAAGTTTTAATTCTGCAGAGAATACAAGTGTAAGAGCAGTGAGCAGTGAAGCATACGACGAGTACGAAGATGAAGCCCACTTCTCTTCCTTACCTTTTGGAATTGTAGCTTAATTAGTAAGATTTGTAGAAAGAAATAATCAGGTGCTTTATTTATTTATTTATATTTATCTCTGCAAGATGGTAAAAACACAAAATATGAGCTCTTACGTACAAATCCCATCTTCAGAATTAAGATAGTCGGGTCTTTGGGGAGATACCAATATCCCTGATGGTTGCTACTTCTGTAGCTTTTTGAGTCTTCCATGTTACTTTGATCAGTGTGTGTTTTATTCTGTACAACTGATTGAACAGTTTCAGTTGCTAAGTTTGAACAAAATTCACCATGTAATCTAGTGAATTTTATTAGACTAATGCTTCACTATTCGAAGAACAGCTATATCCTGTACATGCAGTATATTCTATAATTTCTTGCATGGTTAATTTTTCAGGACCTCGTTATATACCATATAGCAGTTAACTTTTGTCCTTCAGTTTTTCTTTTCCTGGGCTGTTGATATTTATTTAACTTTCTCTGTTTAGTTTCCTTTGATCAGTTTTCCTCTTACTATCTCATAATAATCTGTTGATTTTCCTCCAGCACGAAAAGAAGGTCGATACCGGGAACCACCTCCAACTCCTCCTGGTTACGTAGGAATACCTATTGCTGAGTTCACAGAAGGTGGTTCCCATTCAATCAGAAAGCCTCCAGATTACAACATAGCACTTCAGAGGTCTAGAATGGTGGCACGGACATGTGAGACCCATGGGACATCAACTCCACAGCAGCAGACACATGGCCATTCAACAAGCAGGCCTATGAACAAACCTCAGTGGCATAAACCAAATGAGTCAGATCTACGTCTTGCTCACTATCCATCTCAAGAGTTTTCCACAGAGGAAGATGGTAAGCTTCTAATTGTTAGGTTTTGAGTGTCCTGCATGAAAAATAGTCAGAGCTTTCACAGACACAAAGCAAATTATGCAAATATATTCTGCCTTATAAATTCTTGCCATAATTTGAGTTCTTTCACCTTTCAAAACTTGCTATTAACTCTTTTGAAGGGGAGGAATTAACTTCATCTTATATATATATTTTAAAATTTCAAATGTTGGTCTACCTGAGTCTTGGGCAACCAAGCAGCTTGCTTAGGCAACTTCTCTGGAGTTGCCTATGTTCACTAGGTACACCCCTGGCTGCCCTGAAAGTTTCCAGCATACCTAATGTTTGGTACTAATCGTGCATTTAATGGTCAAAAAAAACCCTGATCTGTAGAAATACCTGCCCATCCACCCCATAGAGCATCAATGGTCAGGTCAATTTTTATGCAGTCTTACTTTAAATAAATCACAGACATACACAGGGGAAAATGTAGTATGTCTTTATGAAGCTCTTGGATATCTAGCAGTAGCCTGAGGAACTGCACCTAGCTCAGTTATAGCAATTGTGTTATTTTCTTTGAGAACAAAATTACAAAGGAATACTTCTCATGAGATCTGAAATGTACAGATATTTAGATTGCTTCAAAATACATACCTAATACTGCAAAATGGAAAACACATGGACACAGTACAGGTTGTTTCATTCAGTAGCAGTCTTGTTCTGTATGAACTAAATTCTATTTTCCCCTATCCTTATTGTGTTTGCAGAAGATGAACAAGTCTCTGCTGTCTAAGACTTGGGGCTTTTCTGGATCCAGAGTGAGCCACCTTAAAGGAGAGCACAAGAAGACGTCCCTATAATAGGAGCCTTGGAACTATAGTTAAAGGATGGTGGACCTATTTGCCTCCTTCCCTGCCTTAAAGCAGCATGGGGCTTCTTCCTCTGCCCCTCCCCCTTCTGTCCCCTCACTCCTTGCATGTGAAATACTGTGAAGAAATCGCCCTGGCACTTTTCAAACTGTGTTGCTTGAAATGCACAGTGCAGCAATCTCCAAGCTACCACTGTCGCTGTCTGCCACATCACACAGTATCATTCCAAATTCCAAGATCATCACATCAGGATGATTAACTCTGGCTGCACTTCCCAATGCCTGGAAGGGTTTTTATTAAATCTTCCCTTTAGATTTTAATCACAATTCTAGCACTTAGTCTCATTGGGATAATGAGATAAGCTAGTTGTCAAATTACATTTGGCCTTTAACCTACAAAGAGAAAAATGCATTGAAATCCTTCAAGGAGGCAGTGCTTATTTGCTTGTTTACAATGCCTTTGTTACAATTTTGTATGTTTGTGTTTCAGAGATCAAATACTGATCTGTTTAGTAATTAAAATATTATTTCATACCTGTAAGTAGGGTTGTCAGCCTGAGCTCCTGGAAAGAATATTGCTATCGCTTGGCTGAGCAGGGCAGAAGGGAAGGCAGAGGTTATGGGAATGTAGCCTTTCCTTGATTGTCTGTCACTTCACTCTTAATGTGTCCCACCCTGGAATCTTCAAAAGTTTATAAGTGTTAGCGTTAGTGGCATCCTTAGCCGTTAATGGCACCCTCAGCTTGGTCTAGTGTAAGTGCAGAAACACGCGCTTGCAACAGGCTGGTGATGGAAGAGGACACTGTGTGTCTCATACCTGTGCCTTGTGGAATACAGGATGGCATACTGAAAAAGAAAGTGTCCCATTCTAATGAGACAGAGAGCAACCCCACCTTTAAGTTATATATACGATTTTATTTTTTTTTTACTATATAGTAGTTACATTAAAAGAAAAATTAACTGGATAACAATGCAGTGAAGGCAAGTTGGGATGTCACATCTCATGTCAGCTGTTAACACTGATCTAATAACCTCCATCTATTGACTTTGGCATTAGGGGGTAAACAAGCCTTTAAGTAATAAAAAATAACACTTTTAGATTTGCCAGCCTTTGCAATGCAGAAACAGTCACAACTGTTAATGGCTTCATGGAACACTGCATGTGTAGAGAAGGCCAATGTGTAGCAACCACCTGCTCACAGCTGCTATTAACCCTATAATGACTGAAATGACCCTCCCCTCTATTTTTGTGTTGTTTTTGCACAGACTCCGGAGAAGTGAAGGCTGCCAATCTGAGTAGTACTCAAATGTGAGGAACTGCTGGTCTTGGATCTTTTATTTTTTTTCCATTGAACTCAACTGATCATATTGATCAGTAGATAAACGTAAATAGATTCAACTTTTAAAGATCAAATTGCAGTGTTTTTTCACTGTATCAAACAAATGTCAGTGCTTTATTTAATTCTCTCTCCTGTAATCATAGCTTTTGTCTATTTGCTTATATATCACATTGTCAATTATGCATTTGTAATTTTACATGTAGTATGCATTATTTGCCAGTTTTATTCTCAAGGCTGTGGACCTCGTGCATATAGAAATACAAAATCCTAGCTCTATCACAAGTTGCACAAATGTTATATAAGCATTAAGTAATTGTAGACCATAGGACTGCTAATCTCAGTTCGCTCTGTGATGTCAAGTGCAGAATGTACAATTAACTGGTGATTTCCTCATACTTTTGATACTACTTGTACCTGTATGTCTTTTAGAAAGACATTGGTGGAGTCTGTATCCCTTTTGTATTTTTAATACAATAATTGTACATATTGGTTATATTTTTGTTGAAAATGGTAGAAATGTACTATGTTTATGCTTCTACATCCAGTTTGTATGAAGCTGGAAAATAAATAAATATAACGTTAATTAAGTCCATATTGATTCTTATGTATTTTACATGTTCCACATACTTGAACAAATTTATGAAAAAATTTTACTTCTCTGTGTATTAATATTAAAGGGACATTGCCAAGTGATGTGGGCAAACCATTGCTGTGGAGTTTTTCTTAACATACAGTTGTGTGGCTAATACAATTTTTGCAAAGTTTGGTGTGTGTACTGCTGAATGAGGTTGCTTGGTAAGTTGTGTGTTCCTACAGAAACACTTGAGAATGCAAAAAAGGACCCTAGATAAGGTCTTACGTATATATAGTATGTAAACTGTTTTAAAGGAAGGATTGTGTTGATTTTATATTCTGTATGATGTTAAAGTAAGGAATACATGCTGTAACACTGGAGTAGGGAGAAGTATGGAAAGTGTTCCGTTTGAGTGAGTTCTTACTGAAGAAGGTATTTTAAGTAATAAAGATCACCCAATAGCATCACCAGTAATAAAAGTTGACATTAATTCAATGTCAAATCTCTAGATTTTTTTTTCCGGAGATTAGATTCATTATTTCAGTAGTATGAACAAGACTGGGTTAAAATGTCACTGCTAAAGCTATTAACAGCTGTATCCCATTTAGCTTTGAAATGCTTGACAGGTGTTGTTTCCTAATCTAAAATTAGTTCATTGCAAAGGGAAGCAACAAAATACTCTGTATAGATGTAATTCTTTCTAACATAATTCTAGAAATGTTCCACACTTAAAATACAATCATAAGCAAGTTAAAAATCATTGAAAATCTAAGTTTCATAAACATTATCACTGTAAGGAAGGAAATTATGGAGACTTAGATTTGTACGGGTGGGGGGGTGGGGATGTGGGTCCAACTAGTCCCTGTGAATCTGTGACTAATATTTGTTTGGTACATTTCCACAAGCTAGGGAACTATAGTTGGTTCTGACATTAGTGGAATGAATGTACATTTTTATCTGTCTTACCTGCAAGTTTGTCCTTTGGTAATACTAAAGGTATGTTGTTAGGGAAATAATTTCTCTTATCAACTTGGGAGGTATGTGAGCTGCTGGCACACATGTATATTTTTTCACTATGATACTGTTTTGAATTAGGCAGCATTCCCTATACTCCTGTTTATACCTCATTTCTGTGATTAATATTGTTAGAATACATTATGTAGAGACATCCTCAACACTCATTGTCCAATACACATAGCTTAATTTGTTGTGGATTGGGTGATAAAGAACACTTACAACCAATTCAGTACAAATAAAGGGTTTGCTTTGACAAGTATGACTTCTTATGAAAAAGATTTGATAGTTGTTCTAGTACATTTAATATGAATGTTGTACTTATTTTGTGGATGCAGCAAGACGTTGACAAGTAACTACCAGTTTCATTTGGTGTTACATTAACAAAAATTGCACTCGGCACTGAAATCTTAAGGATTTTTTTGTCTGCCACTCAATTATCTGTACTCTTATATCTTCTTCTTCTTTTTCCTGAAACTTGTTGAGGCAGAGGCTGCTACTTTGTGCAGTACATTACACATTGGAGTCAACCATAGAAGTCTTAAAAGCTGAGGTATTGAAGGTACTGCTTTAATGGATTAGTCTTGGTCATCTGGAGAAGCATTCATGTTTTACAAATCTGGTTATAAAATATTTGGCTCATCTAAAGTGGGGAACAGTATTGCTACTTAAAAAAAACCCAAATTATTTGCTTCAAAACTAGTTGGAAATGTAATAAAGTTCTAGACTTCCTGTCTCATATAGATTGTGCAGTAGTTGAGACAAAATCGTCTATTGCAAGTATTATCTTATATTACCTTATAATTGTAAGTATTAGTAAATTACCTTATAATTTATAATTGCAAGTAAAAATATATGTATTTACCTTATAATTTTTATATATATTCTTTATTTACCTTATAATTTTTATATATA